AAAACTTGTGTTTCTTTACATGGAATTGCATTTCCCTATATCTAGGAAACGAACCAAACAGCCCCTTAATGTAACAAAATAAAATCAGTTGCCACCAAAGTTTTCCAGGTAGAAACCATTACAATAACATAGAACCCTTTACAAAATATATTCAAAAAGTATTTGGGTTCAACACTCCTCTTCAAGCTTGCATTTGAATGTATCAGAGAGTATAGGAAATATAGAAACAATAAAGAATGAAATCATATTTTTGTAAATAGAGGACTACAGTATGGGAGAAGATCAGAAGGTCATGAGATTGCACGCGATCAAATGAGACCAACGCGACTACACCCGAGAAAGCACAGGTTGGCAAGGTTTCCATGATAAAGGTTTGAAGGATAATCGAGCTACTAGAACGGCTGAGATTTCTGATGAAGTCCCATCCTTTTTTCTCGAAATTAAAAAAAAAGAAGAGAGAAAACAAAAGGTTGAAGGAACTAAGTGTAAGAAGATAAAGTTGATGGAATTGCATAAATAAAACTGAGCTCAAAGAAATGGCAGGTGTAAGAGACCGATGATATTATATGGTGACGAGGATGTCAGGCAAAACTGCAAACAAGAAAAGGAGGCCGAAAAAGCTGCATGAACAAAGTGGCCGGATGCGTGCAACATGACTACATGTGAAGAGAGGGAGGCAATTAATGCAGGTTGCGATCTTTTTTTTATGAGCCTTCGCTGGAGAACATTGGTTGAAAATATCAACGATGCAAGAGAGATCGAGAATAACGATAGTGATTCTTGAGTACTACTAGCGACACAAAGTTTCCAAGGTGGGAAAGCACAGAAGTAACGTATAACCTTGGATGTAATCAAATAGAATAAGTTGTAATCACATATCCCCAAATAATAGGAACGTCTACAATAGAGATACAACCGGTTACAGCAAATATTCAAAAATACTTGAATTCGTGGACAAATTAGCTACATAATTGAGTTGATCAGGATAGTGAGTGATAGACGTGTCTTCTAGAAACAATTACACTTCAAGATTTCACCACCTGGTAAAAGTGCCGATCGAAGGGTAAATTTGGGAAGATAAAAGACAAATCAATTCTAAAACACCATCTAATTGGTGGAATAATTCATTGATGTATGTAGCCTACTCTACTTGGTGGAAACTGGAGTGTAGACACCTGCAGTCAATGGTTCAGAAAAAACCTCCCTCGGACTCATACTTAGAGATGCAATAGTTTAAATTTGGAAGGCTGACCTCGATTATTTATGAATCGATACTCATATAAGGGAAAACACAAAAATTGCACTCTTCCGACTTTAAATTTAGCATGGACTTGACTACTTCTGTTAGCTGTTGAAGAGTATTATTTTAGGTTCAAAATTAATTTGGTATTGTTGTTACTAATTTAATATATAAAACATACATTCATAAATTTGTTTCTGTTTTGATCTTAGTGGTCAAAGACCAGCATAGGTAGGAGAATCTATTTTTTGTGATGTACAAAATATGGTCAATGTGGAGGATAACCTATCACCTTCTGTTATTTCGGTGCTTATCAACTTCTGCCTAACTAATCATATATATATGACCCTATGTTTTGCTGGTCAACATTGCTCACCCTGTCATGGTTGCAGTGTACGATGTGTGTTATGATAGCTTTATGCTATACTTTAATTTGTGTAAATCCTGATCAAATATACATTTAGGAGCTCACATTTTCAATAAACAAGCATTTACTATATATTTAATGAACAATCATGATTTGTCATGAATGATAGTCAACAGTATGGTGATTTTTGAATAATATGATGATATTTTACAGTTATATCTATAACGGTCCGGTAATTCTCAATAAAAAATCGACATCGCTACGTGAATCTAGGGTTCAACATATAAAAAGGATCCTCAACCTACAGCTGAGTATATAAAACTATAGCCCTCAACATCAACGTGACATCTAGGTTTCCGTATAGTGGCGGGATTCTTTGACAATATGCAAAATGAATGTGTAAGTATTCTAAATAAAATTATAAATTTAAATGAGATCATGTTGGTTACTGGCTATTATGACGTACCGCACGCGCTCCCAGTGGTGCTGCCGTCAGGGCAAAAGCACGCCGGCCTTCCTGGCACATCAGCATCACGCCCGCAGACGCCACTTGAATCTTCACACGCTTTACACCATCCGTCACCAACCATCCAGTTCAAATCGAACCCGTTTTGCAGTACACCCAAGAAATCCAGCCTTCCTTTGGCCAGCGGCTCCGCATCGCCATCAAACATCGGAATCTGCACGATCATACCACAGTTCTTCGACATCTCGGCCAACTGTGGTGGAGGATCTTGCGGCAGTCTATAATATGAGTTGTACATACTCTTAGTAGTGTTGTCACTCCCAGGACAGGTAACACTTCTGAGATTGAATCGAGAGGTTTCATTCGTGCAGTTGAAGAATAGAGTCATGATGATATCATAGTCGGTGTAGTTGAAGAGCGAGTGGTCAACTGTTATGTTGCTGAAAGAACGAGGGCAGGTTTCACCCAAAGAGTTGGAGTTTACGAGGGAGATGACTCGATCGTCGTAGTAAATGCCCTTGACTTTGTACTCCCTGCCGGAGATTTCCATTGTCAACATGGAGTGTTTTGTGTTGTTGTCCTTGCAGGTGAGTTCGAAGGCCGGATGGCCACAGTAGTTGGGCATGCCCGGAACACGGTATGGGTAGGAAATGTTGCAGTCATGGCCACCACAAAGGTATGAGCTTGGTTTGCAGTCTGAGAGCTTAGAAGAAGTAGAAGTAGAAAAGGAAGCAAATAACTCTAGAAGAGAGAGCAAGAGAAAGAGGGAGATCATGTGATTTCTCATAGTTGCTGTTAATAAGGAGCTCATTTACCAGAGGGATAATATAGACAGATATTTGATTGGGAAAAGTATTGATCAAATTAAGAATGTGGGCAGAATGTGAATGGTTCAAACTTCTAAAGAACCTGAGGAGACCAAAATGCCTCTTGAAAAAGGCAGGTATGATGTTAACGATGGTGACTAGTTAACGATTTTGTTTGTCGGATTCACCAAACTGTACATTCTCCGGTCCATTGACTGAGAGAAAGATGCATTGTTTTGACTTGGTAACTTACTTATTAGTAAAAAAAAAAGAATATTGTGTCTGAGAAAAATTGCATGATATACCCTGAGGTTTAGGTAATAACCTGTAGGTTATTGCCTACCAAACTGTTAGAGTATAAAACTATATCCCTCAATCTTTACGACAACTTTAAAATTTTGGTGTAGTGGCGGGGTCGTTTGAGATGATATCAGAGCAACCTAGATTTGGATCCCACTAACCACGAATTTAACGTGAATTTTAGAAAACTGACACCACTGCATAATCCATGTTTCAGAAACTAACTTGTGGGTTGTTTGACGCGAACTAATACCATCATCGAAATAGGCCTTACCATTATTCAGACATCCATCTAATTGGAAATAATCATCCATCTATTGACTCTTGCATGTATCACAACAATCACCCATCACCAAAAGCCAATCAATCCCTATCTAAGCTTCAAAATTAAAGCCCATCATTTTACAGAAATCATCGCATAAGTAATATAAGTTAAAAGCCAACATACCTGTTGGCGCAATGCCTGAACTCGCACCGCAGGTGATTCCGGTATCGTTTCCATCAGGACAGAAGCAGGTTCCGTCCCCCGGAGAGTTGGGATTGTATCCGCAGACCCCACCGGATCCTTCACACCCATTGCACCATCCAGCGCCGACTGTCCAACTCAAATCAAACCCCTTTTCAATTGCTTCCTCAATTTCAATCACTCCTTTGACAAGCTCCTCGGTCACACTCTTGAGTATCGGAATCTGCACAATTGACCTGCACTTTTTCAGCAGTATCGGAATCTTGTCCGTGATAAGAGGTGGGAATCCCAAGCATGGCATATTCTCCACGCACGCGATGAAAAAGAGATTTGATGGCAAGCCCATTAACGAGGGGCAGTTGAAGTGTACTGTCAAGTTGGCATCAGAGCTTTTGTAGTTCAAAACGTCGAAATCTATTGTTACGTTGGTGAAGTCGGGAGGATAGGGTATGTTGCCGGAAATTGGAACAGAGACGTGGAAGACACGATCATTGTAGTCGATGTCTTGCACCTCGTACTGATCTCTGTCGAGTTCAATTGCGAGAGTGGTGTTGTTGATGCAAGTGAGTTCAAATTTGGGGTGGCCACAATAGTTGGGGTTGCCTTTAGTTCGGAAAGGGTAGGAGATGTTGTAACTGCTCTCGCCGCAAGTGTAGTTCATCGGAGCACAGTCGAGATATTTTCTGTTGGTAGTTAGGGAGGCAGAAACTGAGAGGAGAAAGGGAGAAAGTAGGTAAAAAATTGGGCATCTCACGTTGATTTTCCGAAACATTTGTTAGAGCCTTAGAGGGCGCACAAAGTTGAGGAGAAGAGGATATTAGGGAAGGGTGGGTGATTGGTCGAGAGAAGCAGAGGATGTCAAACTAAGATTTGGTCGAACAGAAAACAAGTGAGAAGTCACATCTGCTGATTAGCGCAAGGTATTAGTTAAAGCTAAGAGAAGACTAAAAATTTGCATGTATAATAATATTAACAAGAAGTTTGAATGTGTTTGTTAAACTCCTTTCTCTGTGATGACTCTAGTTCATGTCTAATCTGGTACAAATGGAAAGGCTAGTGCTCTAAAGTTAAAAGTGAGGGAAAAAGTGTGATTTTTGTTTTGGCTAATGAACTAAACTACTTTTAATATATGTTCAAGTTATGTAGCGTACCAGGCTTAAAACCATTGGATGAATCATAGACTTAAAGCTTCATTGTCTACGTCTTGAAAGGAAGCCAAGCATTTCAATGATTTATCAAATGAAGGTCAAAACTCAATTGAATCCTTGGCTACGAATGATCTGTGGAAGGTTCAGTTGAAAGTTCAAAGTCTTGCACTTTCTCATTCTTAGACAGATTTCTAATGTAAGTATATTTAAGCTTCACTACAAACTTAGCTAAACCTACTCCTCGTTCAAATTGTCATCGTATTAGAGCATCCTTTGGTCTGTTGAGATTCTCTTATCATTGATATAAATTGTAAGCTACAGTTTTAAGATAAAGACTATCGTTTTTCAATAGTTTTTCCCCCATTAACAACTTCTAGCCAAAATTTATCTTTTCTGCACTTGAATCAATGTGTTGGGAAATTCAAGCTACTCGACCACCTGTCAAATATGAACCCTCCTGCGGAATTTGCCCTACCGGATCTTGTGTTAAGACAATAGAAAGAAGAAATCACAGCAAATTAAAAATTACAAGAAAAAAGAGAACACCGAGTTTTAACAAGGTTCGGCAACTTGCCTTCGTCCTCGGGAGCCACACAAATAATTTCCTTTTTATCAAAGAATATTACAAGCTAAAAGGGGGCGTGAGATTTTAAAACTTGTAATATCTCTTATTTTTCTTCTCAAAAAATCGCTACAGGAATCACTGCGAGATTTTCCCTTTAAAATCTCCGCTACAGGAGCTCAATAAATGGCCGCCGCCTTTCTTTAAATCGCTCGTGAAGAAGAAGAATCAAGGAGGCAGAGGGTTTTTGTGTTCTGGGTTTCCCTTTTATAGGGAACCCTAGGTGGGCTGTCAACAGCCTAGCCTGCACTCAAATGAGCGCTCGAGCTGACGCAGCGCGGAAGTTGTAACCTCGGAATCCACCAAGGGTGTTCTCTGAATCCACAAAGAACGATCTTCGAATCCACGAAGAGCTTCGAATCCACGAAGAAATATTGAGGAAAAACAAAATTTTATTAAATAAAAGTTATGCCTCTAGGGCTTACAAGACTATTCTTAAATAGAAAAAGAAACAAGACTCCTACAAGGACTCTAATTCCTACAAGGACTCTCAACTTACCAAAAATGGTAAAGAATTCCTAAAACATTAAAACTCCTAAAAAGACTCCTTATGAATAGGAAAGTCCACCGGTCAAATCTGAGATCAAATCGGATTTATTTCCTAAACAAAACAGACTCCTAAATTATTACTAAAAATAGTAAAAACAGACAAAATTGTAATTATCTCTCAAACCGTAAGGAATTTGGCGAATCTGAGAACGCAAACCGAACCCAATGGGGTCGGTTTGGATGGCTCCGTCTCGTCGAGATAGTCGATTTTCATATATAATTCGTCCAATTCCGACATACGGTTTGAAAGTTACGGCCGTTTCTTCGAAACATGTTATTTTCTTCGACCAGGCCCGCATTTAGGCTTGCGATTGTCCCACTTTGACATAAACATGTCTGCTGTGTGTTCTACATCAGTCCCCCCTGCTTGAAAAGAGCTCGACCCCGAGCTTACACTTGCATGAACAGCTGTTTCTGGTGGGTAATACTCAAACAAATCTGCAACATTAAAACTAGGAGAAGTACCCAAATCTGTAGGAAGGTTAACCACATAAGCGTTGTCGCTAATCTTCTTCAGTATTTTGCATGGACCATACTTCTTATTCTTCAGCTTGATCTTCTTCAGTATTTTGCATGGACCATACTTCTTATTCTTCAGCTTGTTGTAAGTACCCACGGGAAAACGTTCTTTTCGCAGAAACACCATCACCATGTCTCCTTCTTCAAACACCTTCCTCCTTCTGTGTTGATCAGCTTCAGCTTTATACTTAGCATTAGACTGCTCTATCTTCTCCTTCACCTCCTACTGAATAGCACGTATCTTTTCAACCATATGATCTGCAGGAACACTCTGTCCAAGAAGTTTAGGCAGCGAGGCTAGATCAAGATAGTGATTCGGAAGCCTTCCATACACAATTGTAAAGGGTGCCTTGCATGTAGTCCGACTCTCCATACAGTTGTAGGCAAATTCAGCATGTGCCAAAGCAAGATCCCATTGTTTTGGTCGATCGCCAGAAATAGATCTAAGAAGATTGCCGAGGGTGCGATTGACCACTTCAGTTTGGCCATCCGTTTGGGGGTGATAGGCAGTACTGAACTTGAGAGAAGTGTTGAATCTCTGCCACAAAGTCTTCCAAAAGTGTGATAAGAACTTGGAATCTCTATCGGATGTGATGGACTTTGGCACTCCATGAAGACGAACTATCTCCCGAAAGAAAAGATTGGCAATGTTGCTCGCATCCGCAGTCTTCTTGCATGGAATAAAGTGCGCCATCTTTGAAAACCTATCAACCACAACAAAAATAGAATCCATACCTCGTTGGGTTCTAGGAAGCCCCAACACAAAGTCCATGGAAATATCATGCCACGGCGCATCAGGAACTAGTAAGGGTGTATACAATCCTGTATTCTGAGACTGTCCCTTAGCAACTTGACAAATTGGACAACGCCGCACATATCTTTCTGCTCCCTTCTTCAACTGAGGCCAATAATATCGTTCTTCAATGGCTGCAATTGTCTTATCACGTCCCAAATGTCCTCCTAGTCCGCCAGCATGAAGGTCTCGAAATATTTGCTCTCTTAGCGAACTCTGGGGTAATATCATGCCACGGCGCATCAGGAACTGGTAAGGGTGTATACAATCCTGTATTCTGAGACTGTCCCTTAGCAACTTGACAAATTGGACAACGCCGCACATATCTTTCTGCTCCCTTCTTCAACTGAGGCCAATAATATCGTTCTTCAATGGCTGCAATTGTCTTATCACGTCCCAAATGTCCTCCTAGTCCGCCAGCATGAAGGTCTCGAATTATCTGCTCTCTTAGTGAACTCTGGGGTATGCACAATTGATCGCCATGAAATAGATAACCATCCTGAATATGAAAGCCTTTAACTGATCTATTTTGAAGACAGTCATTCCAAATCTTCTTAAAATCGTCATCCTCCGCATAAAGCTCCTTAAGATACTCAAACGCAATCACTTCAGCCTTCAAAGTTACCAACAATCCAGCCCTCCTACTGAGTGCATCTGCAACCTTATTCTGCTGCCCGGATTTATGCTTCAAAACGAAGGTGAAACGCTGCAGATATGCAATCCAACGAGCATGCATACGGTTGATGGTAGTCTGACTATTAAGGGTCTTCAAGGCCTGATGATCAGTGTGAAGCAAAAACTCTCTCGAGATCAAATAGTGCTCCCAATGCTTCAAAGACTGAACTATGGCATATAATTCCAGCTCATATGTGGTCCACTTCTGCCGAGCTTCGCTTAGTTTCTCACTGTAAAAGGCAACTGGACGCCCTTCCTGAGATAAAACACCACCAATTCCTATGATGGACGCATCACAATCAACTTCAAAGACTTTTTGAAAATCTGGAAGTGCAAGCACAGGTGCGGTGGACAACTTCTCCTTGATCAGTGCAAAGCTACGATCTGCTTCTTCCCCCCAATTGAACTTTCCTTTCTTCATGCATTCAGTTATAGGTGCTACAATGCTGCTGAAATTTCTTACAAATCTCCTATAGAATGTTGCTAGGCCATGAAAACTACGAACTTCGCTGACAGTCTTCGGGGTAGGCCAATCTCTAATAGCACGAACCTTCTCTTCATCAACATGAATACCCTCTGCACTAACAACAAAGCCTAGAAACACGCAGATATGCAATCCAACGAGCATGCATACGGTTAATGGTAGTATGACTATTAAGGGTCTTCAAGGCCTGATGATCAGTGTGAAGCAAAAACTCTCTCGAGATCAAATAGTGCTCCCAATGCTTCAAAGACTGAACTATGGCATATAATTCCAGCTCATATGTGGTCCACTTCTGCCGAGCTTCGCTGAGTTTCTCACTGTAAAAGGCAACTGGACGCCCCTCCTGAGATAAAACACCACCAATTCCTATGATGGACGCATCACAATCAACTTCAAAGACTTTTTGAAAATCTGGAAGTGCAAGCACAGGTGCGGTGGACAACTTCTCCTTGATCAGTGCAAAGCTACGATCTGCTTCTTCCCCCCAATTGAACTTTCCTTTCTTCATGCATTCAGTTATAGGTGCTACAATGCTGCTGAAATTTCTTACAAATCTCCTATAGAATGTTGCTAGGCCATGAAAACTACGAACTTCGCTGACAGTCTTCGGGGTAGGCCAATCCCTAATAGCACGAACCTTCTCTTCATCAACATGAATACCCTCTGCACTAACAACAAAGCCTAGAAACACGAGGCTACTGGTCATGAAGTTGCACTTCTTCAGATTAATGTACAACTTATTCTTCTGCAAAACTGTTAGTACCTCCCTCAAGTGGTCCAGATGTGCAGCCCCACTCTGGCTATAAATCAGGATATCATCAAAGTAAACTACGACGAACTTGTCGATAAAGGGTTTTAATACCTGATTCAT